GGGATATCTTAAAATCTTCCATATTTAGCCTTTTCAATTTCAAATTAAGTTATCCAAGTTAAAATATGGACGTTTATGATTGATAAAAACGTTGTAGTCCCGTAGTATTATTGCGCAATTATGCAAATTACTGCCGAAACGATTTACCGCTGTCGAAAAAGTAGGACAGCAAATTATACTATAATAAAGGTGTACAGTTGAGTTCACACTAAACTTCCCACCCTTGTGCACTTCTAGTGCACTAGAGCTGAACTAGAAGTGCACACCGTGTGCACTTCTAGTGCACTAGACCATATGACCAGGCTGGCCAGGAAGGTGACACCTAAATGGTTTATTGGATGATTGTATATCAAGTGACAGGGGGTATCTGTTGTTAAGCTGCTGTAAGAAAAAAAAACTTTGGGAATATAATTATGGCCTATTCGTGAATATAAATAAGTAAATTTTAACATTTTAGGTGCTTTAGATTAAAAAAAGAAATTTATTTATTGTAATCATATTTTTATTAACCAGTATTTAACTGTAGACCTAAGTGTAAAATAATATCCCTTAAAATCAAATTTATAGAATTAATAAGGTTAAATTTAAATATGCTCGGTAATGGATAATTGCATAAGTGTTTTTAAAGCTATTTTTAATGGCTTTAACGATTTCAATTTGTCTAATGTACAAATAAGAAAGTAAATGTGATAATTCTGGCCCAATTAATTTAGTTTGTAACAACATAAACTTTTTTTTCATAAGCTCAAACAAATCAAGGACAGGTTAATATTTAAGCTAAAATATTATATCTATAATATATAACTTAGAGACAATTCCTCATGTTCAATATTGAAAGAGTATGTATACATTGATTTTAAAACAATCAATATACTGTGATAATTTAGTATTCAACTGTGTTATGCTTGCATATAAATGATTAAAATATTATCCATAAAATAAATAAATTTGATAACTTTATTCATGATTTCAATATTAAAAATTTAATGTATAAAGGGGATACTTTTATTGAAGAGGAAAATCTCAAGTCATGCTGTGTATTGGTATTTTCTGAGAGGGACTGTTTTCATTATACCAATCTCCTGCTGATAAGAGGGCCTCAGGGTAGTCAATTTTGCAGATTATAAGTATGCATTGAAATTCCCTGGTTTTCTCAAAATGCATGTTAGACATAAGCCTGGGATTCATCAGGCGTTGGCACTCAGGCTAGTTAGTCATATAGATAAATGACCATAATTTTTGTATAATCAAATATACAAAAAGAATCACAATGGCATAAATGCATATTAGATATTATTGTCTCTAAAGCGGAATTTTCTATATTTATCCACAATTCTTGCCACTCTGCATAATAATATATAACTTAAGAGGCAATTCCTCATGTTCAAGATTGAAAGAGAATATTAATTCATTGATTTTAAAACAATCCATATACTGTGATATTATGTTTTTCAACCATGAAATGCTTGCATACTTTTTAAAGATATAAATAATTAAAATTTTTCAAAGAAATCATGGAGCTAAATATAAGTTTATATATCTGTGCATGAAATAAATAAAATTGATAACTTTATTTAAGATTTCTATATTAAAAATTTAATGTATAAAGGGAATGCTTTTATACAAGAGGACTAGTCCCCTGCTGATAAGAGGGCCTCAGGGTAAATAACAAAAATGCACATGTATGCAATATTTACATGTATTTAAAATTTCCTGTTTTTTTTTCTCCAAAATACATGTAAGACATCTAAGATAAATGACTATAATTTTTGTATAATCAAATGTAAAAACATAATAATAATGGCATAAACGCATGTTAGATATTATTGTCATTATTGTCTTTGAAGTGGAATTTTCTAATCTTATAAAAAAAACTGGTTTAAAATCAATATCAGTGTTAACTATTCTGGAAAGACCTCATATCAATATTTATCCACATTTCTTGCAATTTTGCATTAAAATCATCTTTTAGTTTCTGAACTGGGAAATGTTAATTTTTTCTATCATAGATTTGACAAATTTACCTTGTCAGTTTTAATTAACACATTTAAAAAATAATATATTTTAAAGAAAATTTTTAAATACATGATTATAAAACTTTTGCAACTTCCTTTTCACTTTAATGCATATCTGTTTTTTGTTGTTGTTTTTTATAAAATACTAATACATTGTACCATACATGAGCCGAAAACAGTTACAGAAGATTGAAGTGTCAAAAGTCATGCTGTGTATTGGTGTTTTAATGTAGTGCCCTGCTGATAAGAGCGCCCCTCAGGGTAAATAACAAAAGGCAGATGATAAATATAAGGAGGCAATGTAAATTCTGTATTCTCTGGATGTTGGTGCAAATAAATTTCATTACAAGTTGTACAAAAAAGAAAACTGAAATATTTTTGTATTTTATAATAAACTCATAAAAATAATCATATTGCATAATTATGTTACAATGCATGAAAAAAAAGAAAAAAGATTGGTGTCGTCTCAAAAAATGGAATTGAAAGATTTTCTTATCTTTTTGTTAATATCCACATGGAATATATAAGATATATTTGTGATATCCATGTCAGTTAAAGTATTCTAGTGTCCCACAGGTACATATCAACATATCAATACTTAATCCACAAAATATCAATACTTAATATACCACCATTAAATATATAAATATTTATTTTTAAAATAACATATATCATTTCTATAAATCTTAGGTAAATCTCAGTTTGAGAAGGTAAGAGAGATTATAAATGAGATAAAATTGATAAATTGGTATAATTTGCCCCCCCCCCCCCCCAAAAAAGAAACAACAAAAAACAAAAAAAACTTGATTGCATTTCAGTGTTTCATATTTCATTACCAGATTATAATAAATTAGAATCATATTAAATGCCAATTAATTTTGTTTGTTTATGCACTTATCAACATTAAAGTTATAATTATTTATATTTACTTATTTTAACAATTAAGTTTTAAAATCAGTAAAATTAATGACTTTGAAAAATATTGTTCTAATATTTTACGCCATATTTTACAAAATCCAATATTCACAACTTCAAATTTATTATGAAAAACTATTATATACATATATCTATGGTGGCATATTTCTGCCACCAGATAACCTGATAACAAACTAGTTAATTAAGAGGTTAACTAGTTACGTAACTAGTTAACCTGATAATTAACTAGTTAATTAAGAGGTTAACTAGTTACGTAACTAGTTAATTTTTTCAATAAAGAAAAGATCATAACGGGAAATAAATGCATGTTAGTGCCTGCAACTGTCATCCTTTTATTATATCATCATCTTAAAATTAAGAGGTTAACTAGTTACGTAACTAGTTAACCTCTTAATTAACTAGTTAATTATCAGGTTAACTAGTTACGCAAATACCTAACTAGTTAACCTGATAAATAACTAGTTAATTAAGAGGTTAACTAGTTACATAAAAACGTAACTAGTTAACCTGATAAATAACTAGTTAGTTAAGAGGTTAACTAGTTACGCAAATACCTAACTAGTTAACCTGATAAATAACTAGTTAATTAAGAGGTTAACTAGTTACGTTTTTACGTAACTAGTTAACCTCTTAACTAACTAGTTATTTATCAGGTTAACTAGTTACGTAACTAGTTAACCTGATAATTAACTAGTTAAGTATTAGGTTAACTAGTTAGGTATTTTCGTAACTAGTTAACCTGATAATTAAGTAGTTAATTAAGAGGTTAACTAGTTACATAAAAACGTAACTAGTTAACCTGATAAATAACTAGTTAGTTAAGAGGTTAACTAGTTACGCAAATACCTAACTAGTTAACCTGATAAATAACTAGTTAATTAAGAGGTTAACTAGTTACGTTTTTACGTAACTAGTTAACCTCTTAACTAACTAGTTATTTATCAGGTTAACTAGTTACGTAACTAGTTAACCTGATAATTAACTAGTTAAGTATTAGGTTAACTAGTTAGGTATTTTCGTAACTAGTTAACCTGATAATTAACTAGTTAATTAAGAGGTTAACTAGTTAAGTATTTATTTAACTAGTTAACCTATTAATTAACTAGTTAATTATCAGGTTAACTAGTTACGTAACTAGTTAACCTCTTAATATTAAGCTGACAATAAGGGATGGCAGTTTGCAGGCACTAACATGCATTTTTTTCCCGTTATGATCTTTTCTTTATTGAAAAAATTAACTAGTTACGTAACTAGTTAACCTCTTAATTAACTAGTTAATTATCAGGTTATCTGGTGGCAGAAATATGCCACCATATATATCAATATTTATCTATCTTTTTGTAAAAGTCATTGAAATAAAAGGTAACTGCTTTATACATATAATAGGTCTGGTGCACTACAAAGTGCACTTATGAAGTGCACTAGTAGTGCACTACTAGTGCACTTTGAAGTGCACTAGTAGTGCACATCTAGTGCACTCCTAGTGCACTTTGTGTAACCTTTAGTGTGAACTCAACTGTAAGCTCTGAGTTCCAAGAAATTATTAGTAGGAAATAAATATTTCTACATTATACAAAACATTATTATTAACAAATCAAAAGTTTTTTGGACTCTAGAATAACTCGCGCATTAATAAAAGAAGAACTATTTTCGTGACTCATACCGCGGGTTTAGCTGAATATTCAGCAGTTATTAATAAATTAGATACATTTTCTAGGTCACGATATGAGTTAACCTTCGCTATTCTAAAAATAGATTCTGCTTTGCCTGTGCTGATTTTCGGACAGTGGGGAGTACACAAACTACACATGACCGCCGTCACGAGAAAAAGGGCACTCGGGCATTTTTTATCGATTTTTAGTTTTATAGCTAATATTTTAGGACATGCATTATTTTACACGTTGCACTTTATTTCACATCGATATTGCAAATAGTTTTTGAGATATATAGGTTTAAAAGAGTACATTAATGCAGCGTCAACGACAGATTTACGTAACGTCATAATAATTATGACGACGTCAAATGTAGTTAAGCAGATAACAAATGAAGTCAAGTGTTTCCAAAGTTATAATTTTGCACTAACTACAATAATATTAAAATATATAAAAGTAAGATAATATTATGCAAAAAATAATTTATATCACTGTTTTCAAGGTATTCTTGAATAATACATGTAGAACAATTACATTTTATCATTATAAAACTTGGACCTGCTGTCATAACCTACGAAACTTAATAGCAAAACGTTAATTATAAAAAATGGAAACAATTGAACTTGAAAACATTAACAATATTTTCATCACTCAGTCTTTACGCATGCAGCGTGAATCACTCTTCAGTGTATGACGGGCACGTGGCATCTTGGTATGCAGGACGCACATATTTTCTAATGTTTCGGTATAAGTATTCGCGACGTGTACGACTTAATCCTGCGGGCTGTACGACCTCGGGAAATGTTGTTGTTGGAACGTCAGTATTACATCTAATCAGCGGAACCCGAACTTCCTCGCTATCTCATATTTCCTTAACAAACACAGCCGACTTGTCTGCAGCAGAAAATCTGAATCAGTGATATTTCGGTATGCCTTTCACTTGTAGGAAAAATCGGGTCAAATACGACTTCCAGTCATACCTGTGTTAAAATAATGTTATTTTATTAAAATGCAGTAAATACTGTATATAACGTATATTATTTTTGGAAAATATACCATCTTTGTGAAAAAATATTTTAGGCATTGCATTTTTTCTTCTTCAGAGATTATTATAAAATCAATAACTTTTTTTTCTACTATGTACATGTATGTGTATTGCTAGTGATCGGCGTGACTCCGAGTATCATAATTATACATGATTCTTATAATGTTTAAGCCTACATTATATTATTTACTAGTTATCAAAAATAAATATTAAAACTTTGTTGAAAATTAATTACCATTTCCATGTCTGATCACCGTTTTCATTTCGATATGAAATAGGGAAATTGTTCCTTGCCGATTTTATCCACAATGTCTGCAAATTGACTCAGACTCTCGCAATCAGACCTCTTGAATAGCTTTTTTATTCGCCCGAAGCCACCATCAACAAGACACCTTAGATAAACAATAAAAAAAATAATTAAAGAATGACATTACAAACGAATTAGTTATCACATAAACATAAAAAACAACCTTATAGCCATAAACTTTTTGAGTAGGCTGTTACTTCATTATGTGGTCATTTATATCTGAATAAAATATGAGGATTTTACTTAATTTTGTGACCAAACATAAGGATTTTATATAACTTTAGTAACATTACCAACGCTCAAGAATATGCAGTCACAACCCAAACGCAACGATGCTATGTATAAATATATCAAGCTACTTACTTTTATGCCCGGTAATAGCCATATTCAATTGAATGTGTTCGTGTAACCCTCTGTTTACTCTCCAACAAAGATACGCCAGTGTGTATCTCTTCTAATTTTAACCTGTAAACCAGAAAAAGTAACGCTATTAACTTTATATTACTTGTTTTAGTATTATTAATCAATAAATATGCTGAATATTTTTAAACATAAGTTAATACAAAACAAGATTTACCTCTGCATGTAGATAAAGTCTTTCTCGCCAAATCCGTAATTCTGGAACAACGATGGAGCATGCTTAAATTTAAC